CTTAAAACATCGTTAACTTGACAAATGAAATATGAATTTTAAAGCAAAGGTTGACAGCAAAAGTACAAATGCCAAATAAAATTACAACGTATTTACCTTCATAGCATTATTAAACATATCTTACCATAACACATTACATACATCAGTACATTTGTATTACACAGCGTATATACACAATGAAAACAAGTAATTTTTTTCATTCAGTATACATTATACAGAACAGTTTTGAAATGATGTGTCTGCTATAATCTTTTATGACTATGTAAAAAAAGATGTTGTCCGAAATGATGTATTTCTTGAATATTTTGAAGTGTATGGTTATCACATCTGTTGTATATTAATATTTAATATTGGGATATAAAAGTAAATCTCAACTGTGTGACATTTTGAAAGCTAATTTAAGGATTGAATTGCCAGATAATTTGAATCTGAAATCTAACCTAGCCTAGTTTGTAATCAAATCGGTATATTCTGACCAGGCATGAGAGAAAGGCATAGCAGAGTATAAAGAATTTTAATTCAAGTGGAAACCATCACTATCACTTGGTAATCTGGCCACCCTTTTTTTTCATCAACTATGTAAAAAATGTTGATTTTGAAACCTAAGTGAGGTAAGTTAAATTCTGTAAACTTTTTATTAGTGTGACTGACCTAATATTTTGAAAAAAAAAAATTTAAATAAAAAATGTGTAGAGAAACGTGAGAAAAAAGCTGTGATGCTCAAGCTCGGGTTTCTCCACAACAGAAACTTGACCCGTAGGTATTGACATTAAGTATCTTCTCTAATCGACATAAACTTTATTCTATCTATTTCTATGGTAAGCACTGTTCTATCAAACCAAAACAGTTGTCGCTTTTTGTTCCAAATTAAGAAGTCATTCCCATATAAACAGAAAAAAGTGTCAAGGTATTTTCTTTGGGTGATTTATTTTATTTCTGAAGATGCAAACATCTTTTTGTAATGGAAACGACACACATTGTGCTTTTACCTTACAACTTTCTCGCATGTTCAACGAATGATGAAAGGTTTGGAAATCTACCAAAATTTGAAAACTTCCAAAGAAAATCTTGAATAATCAATAGTATGTATGTCTCTGTAGGTATAAGCTGGTATCTTTGGGTCAATTTCCACAGATTAAATGTAATTTCATTTGGTTAACCTGCAACACAATCCAACTAAAAAGAATATACACCCAATTAGTCTATTAATTCTTACACTTTTCACCAATGCACATATAAAAAGGGGAACAATAAGTATGGACAATACCAGATATGTAACACTGTTTAAATGGACAATACCAGATATGTAACACTGTTTATAATTGATAGTCCTCATTATCTTACTTAAATGACGATAAGATTAATGTTTGAAATTGTCATAGTTTTTGAGATACATATTTTATGAGCTGTCAATGTCAGCTATGGACAAAAGCTTAGACACTGCTTGAGGACAGGCAGTCAAGCCTAGACAAGCCTACTATAGATGATATGTATTTTTCCTGTGTTTAGCCTACTCTCTGAGTCATAAACACAGGTTTCTGGCCTCCGGACATTTTCATTGTTCAAGTTCAACTTTTTTATTGACTGTATTGCTAGCAAATATTGAATAGAAATCCAAACATGTATAATTAAATGATGATAAAATCTTAAAACTATCGCAGCAATCATCAGCACGGTGATCACTTCCACATCAACAGGCGATAAATTTCACACAATTCACAGATGGCAGATCTTCACTATTTTATCATTAGAAAAAATTCATATATGAAAACCAATAAAAACGGAGATGGAAATTAATGTTTATTTCTACCAGGCATTGAATTTCATCTTTGACTGTAAAACATCTAGTCTCCATTATTTGCATAAAGCATTATTGCTACTCCCCCATATATTTTATCTTTTTTTTTTGTTTGTACATTAATAAAACATTACACGTGTAATAGACAAGGTATTGATAATCATTCAGTTATTGGTTTTAACAAAAATACACAAAAAGAGTCACACTCTGTCAACGAAAATCATGGTAAATATCACAATTGCTTGAATTTACTTTTCATAAAATTCCATTTCCCATAAGCTATGGGTCACCACCTCATCATAATTACCATAACTACCTACTTAATTTCTATAGTGCAATTTGAACATCTAATTATAGTCTGGATTTCAATTATAAACCTAATTAAGCACTGTAATGAATTGTAATTAGAAATTGTTTGGAAAACTTTGCCATTTACATGTTTATGTAAAATGACGATCTTGATTTTTATAACTAATTATGTAATTAGCACCAAATATATGTCATAGTTAAGCGATCACTTATTTATAAGCCAAAAAATGATGTCATGTTTAAAATAAGTGTTAAAATGAAAAGCTATAAAGAACTTTTCGATACATCCCATTTACCGAGTCTCACAATGTGCAACCTTGTCCTCAATATTCTACATAATTGTCCCTTCTCTCTAACTCATTAGAAAAGGGCAAGTACCACCATTTTTTCTGTTAATTAAACAGCTTTGGGGACTTTGGGTAACGATTCTCCACCTTCTTATTGTCAATACTAATTGTTTCAATGGATTTTAACCGTAAACGTTTACCAAATCTTTCCTGCATGCCATTTTTTCAAGTCATAGAGTTCTGAGAGAATTGTTCAGCTTTTCAGGCGTGTAATTGAAACTTTAAAAAGATATAGTTTTTGTGGTACAATCTAAGAAGTTTTTTCTGCTAATTCAATTCTTGTGGTATCTACATCTTTCTTATTTGCAACTTAACAAAGAAATCCTGTAGATATAAATCATTTGGACAGGAAGATTTAGACAGCCTTCGAATATTTGGTATTATGAGACATTAGATCAGAATAAGTGGTCTCTATATGAAGTACTAACAGCCTTTAGCCTACTCATATGTCACACATGACAGGAAACTCATGTCATCATTGTACTTCCAGAGGCTGTCTCAGTGAAACAGTTCACATTGACTGACAGTGCCTTTTTTGATCAGTTGTCATTGCAATTTTTATACTTTTCACCAAAGACAAGATTATTTCTGGGTTGATAAGTTGTTGATTGATGATGTAAATCTAAGTATTTCAGTGCTGTTCTAATAATGGGTTGTTTTGATAGTTGTATAGTTATTCCCAGAAACAAACTAGACCTTTAATGATGTGTTGTTAAGTATTGAGAGTTGTTGACTAAATGATCGGTTGTAGTTTTGTGACATTGTGTACATGTTGTTCCCACTAGCTGTCAACAGGATATTAAAAATAAAAAGCCGAAAAGATGATTTTTTTTACATGTTATCATTGCATTTTATTACTTCTATTGTTCCCAAAGGACATATTGTACTTTTGTTACTTTGTTGTTCCCCAAGGACAGATTGTACTTTTGTTACTTTGTTGTTCCCCAAGGACAGATTGTACTTTTGTCACTCTGTTGTTCCCAAGGACAGATTGTACTTTTGTTACTTTGTTGTTCCCCAAGGATAGATTGTACTTTTGTCACTCTGTTGTTCCCCAAGGACAGATTGTACTTTTGTCACTCTGTTGTTCCCCAAGGACAGATTGTACTTTTGTTACTTTGTTGTTCTCCAAGGACAGATTGTACTTTTGTTACTTTGTTGTTCACCAAGGATAGATTGTACTTTTGTCACTCTGTTGTTCCCCAAGGACAGATTGTACTTTTGTTACTTTGTTGTTCTCCAAGGACAGATTGTACTTTTGTTACTCTGTTGTTCCCCAAGGACAGATTGTACTTTTGTTACTTTCCTGTTCCCAGAGGACATACTGTACTTTAATTACTTTTTTGTTCTCCAAGGACAGGTTGTACTTTTGTTACTTTGTTGTTCCTCAAGTACATATTGTACTTTTGTTACTCTGTTGTTCCCTAAGTACATATTGTTGTTCCCCAAGGACAGACAAAACTTGCTATTCACCAAGGGATGTTCTGTATCTTGTAACTTTGTCGTTCACCAAGGACAGACGATACTTTTGTTACTTTGTTGTTCTCCAAGGATGATCTGTACCTTTGTAACTGTGTTGTTCCCAAATGGACAGACTACACTTGTGTTACTTTCTTGATAAACATGTCTTAAAGGATTATATGATATTCTAATTAAGGAAGTTTAATTGATAAAAGGTTTAGAAGTTTTGTGAAAGATAAGCAAAGATATTGATAATTTAGTATTAATTGAAGTGTTTGTTGATTTGTTTGTTTGAAGTTTACACTATTAAAGATCAGTTGTCATTGAATTTGATAATGTACAGTTTTCACCATTTAATCAATTGTCATAAAATTTGTTAATGTATAGTGTTCACCATTTAATCAGTTGTCATTGAATTTGATAATGTACAGTTTTCACCATTTAATCAGTTGTCATTGAATTTGTTAATGTAGTTTTCACCATTTAATCAGTTGTCATTGAATTTGATAATGTACAGTTTTCACCATTTAATCAGTTGTCATTGAATTTGATAATGTAGTTTTCACCATTTAATCAGTTGTCATTGAATTTGATAATGTACAGTTTTCACCATTTAATCAGTTGTCATTAAATTTGTACATATATATGGTTTCCATTGTTTGGTCAGTTGTCAATGATATCATGTATTGTGTAGTATATAGTTTCACTGCTTGATCAGTTGTCAAATATCTTCTATGTATATAGTGCTCAACGTTATATAGTTGTACACCAAGGACAATATGAACTTTCTTTGATCAGTCTTTATAGTATGTTGTATCATTATGTTCACCAATAACAGACCATCTTTGTGTGGTGTTTATTTTGAGTGCTGGTTCTGTTGATCAACAAGCAAGAACTAAGACTTCTTTGATAAGTTGTCATTATGTGTAGTTATTAAGTAATTCAACAACGACAGGCTTAACATCTCTGATGGGTTGTGTAGTGTTGTAGGATTCTTTAACGCACAGTCCCATGAGCATTGGTATTAAGTAAATTTGCTGCATCTACACACTACGAGACAGAAAAAGAAATAAAACAATTGGAGATTTAATGGAAATATATACACATTTATTGAGTCAGTTGGTCTGGTAAATCCACATCTATTTACTAATGTACCCAGATACTAATACACATTAAGAAACAATTAACATGTGCGTAATCAAATTATTCCTGGTTCTGATAAATTTTGGGCTTTGTAAGATTTACAAGACAAGGATAGTGTCTGTGGTATCTTAACACTGTGTCACTATCAGATGCCAGTTCAACTTTCCTCCACCAACCAGCTTCAAGATCCACAAAAATACCTAAGTACAGATGCTCCTTTCTACCATTCCTTCCAGCAAACCTTAGTGTCAGAGATACAAATTATTCCAGAGAGATATATTTGTGATAAAATCTAGATAATCCTCTCTCTCTTTTTGAAAGAAGTGCTAGTAGAACAAAAGGCCTAATACAAGGGGGGTAATTTGAGATTCCACAAGATGCTGGATCTTGTCCAAAATTCTTTATGATATCCATCAGTTAAACACCCCCATCCAAACTTATCAACTCACTGTTGGTAACACTCTCTAGTTCTACACTACAGGAGTGATCAAATGACAAACATTGTCAACATTCTTACAACTTTCTATAAAACATTCCAATACAAATATATGTAACCATGTGCATTGTATATTTGTGATTTAAGAAACTTTGTTGAGCTCCACACTTTTTTGCTTGTTTTCTCACTTCATCTCCTGATGATCTTTTTTATCTTATAAAAATCTTGGAAGGAGCCTCATATCCTTGCATGTGCTAAACAAGTATTTAGATGACTCAGATTGAATGTTTAGCATCAGGGTCAGGTCAAGGTTTTATTTGTCCACTTTGGTCAGGACGTTTTTTGTTGGTAGTTATATAGTTTTTGACCTGGCAAGTTTGGTACGACACTCTGATGGAGGTCAAATTCAAGTCACATCAGAAGACATTTCTGCGATGAGCCTGCAACTGGTCACCCACTGTTTGTCCCAAGTTTTCAGATCATCATCTGCAAGAATAGGTTAAAGGGTCATAACACTGACCAGAGTTATACCTGTTGGTACCAAATAATAGTATACTGAGTGCTAAATCGGTCAACCCTACTACACACGATAAATAAGTAAGGTAATATAAGGTACATAATGAAATCATTTCAAAATTTAAATGAGAGAAATGATAACACTATCTCAACAGTTAATTGATTATGCATTAACAAAGTAAAAATTTAAAAAGTCAACTATAGCTATTCCTCATCAAGTCTGTAAAATCAGTTAAATCATAAATCATTTCTCAGCACCTCAGTTTAATAGTAACCATCTCTCGAGCTCATCAGTAAAATGGTAACCATTCTGCAAATTCTTCAGTGACTCGGGTAACTTCTAACCAATCTTTGTCCCCAAGTCAAGTAAAATGTAAGACTTTATCCTTAGAAGTAGCTCTAAGTGCACAAACAACATAAACTATTTAACAGGTAGTAAGTTTGTCAATACTTTTCACAAATGAAGCATTCCCTTTATGTAATCATAAAAGAAACTTTCAGACATTTGTAACTAGACCACTACTATCTTAAATTTCAAAAAAAGATTAATGTCAATTAAAATTTACAGTATTAACACAAAATGTTAGGAGATTTGGTTAGTGTCATGATCCTTTGACCTCTTCCACATCTGCAATTGATAGAAAACAATATAAAACTGTGGTGAAAACATGACGCAGATGCTAAAACTTTCACTTTAAAAGCCCTACAGTGTTTGTCAGCTGAAGGTGACCTCCTAAGTCAAACCACAGACTTGTGTGTCAAAGATTAGTAATGACATTAAATACACAGTTGGGATTCCAAAATTTTAACATTTTGGATTTTGTTTTCTGGGTGGCCTGAAGAAAGGTGAAATAAGAGATTGACCAAGTCACTTTCTGTATGTATAATTGAATTATATTGGAATCACTCCCACTTTTCCCTTCCACTCCCCACATGGTGTACATGATTATAGCTCTGATTCCTTCACCATCAATCAAAGAACATATTCCAAAGTACTGTCTGAATATGAATAATTAACATCAACAATAATCATGGGTACTCATCTGGTCATTTCCAATTTCGACCAAAGCCAACATGTTGGTATGAAAAACGCCACCTCAAACCAGTAATTCTTCTCAAAAATATCAAAACGGAAGGTGTCTAACCTGAGTATCTTATGATGAAGATTTGATTAAAAACGCGATAGTGTGTATCACATGGCCGGGTAAGGGCTGACACCAGTGTGATGTAGTGTAAGTACAGATAACACATGGACCACTGTAGCCAGACCCCTGCAATCTGTGGCTGACCAATCCAGAACCAGCCTCGCCACAGCCGATGACACACTTATCTCCAACTACCTCACTGATTACAAAGGATTTGCCAAATAAATGAAATATTAGCAAAGAAATGCTTTACCAAAAAAATCCATTTCACTGAAATTGTCAAACGATGAAGACAGTTTTATTTTGTGAAAGCAAATGGATTACAAAATAAAACGAACATATATATTGATGTACAATTCTATGAATGTTCAATGAAGCAATAGTCTAGAAAGTTATCTTTTTCTTAAAAATTCATATCTATGGAAAGAGAAAAATGCATTGAATATTTATCTTTTACGTAACACAAATGGTCACAGACAAGATTTCTGTAGCTTCAGATTTACCACAGCAGCAGTGTATAATATGTCTAGGAAATCACGATATTGTGTAACCAGCCATGTCTACAACTAAAGCATTTTGGCATGTTTTGGTAACCTTTAATCTGTTGGATTCAAATAGCCATCAAAAACTGAGAAACACAAGGTTTGTAAATGCAACAATCATAACAAGTCAACAGCAATATGTCACCAAATGTGAGCAAAGCAAAGCGAGTACAATGTGTAATTTCTGATGACATGACGTCTGCCCTGGAGGAAGTCCAGTGTCACACCCAGACATACAGCTGACACTAAAGCACTTTAATTCAAAAATAAATCTTATTGGCTAAAAATATCTAGTAAAGTCTCGTTTGGGGATGACAGAAGCTATTCTACAATAAAGATGGTCTATTCAATATCACTAATGAGGTGGTGTTTCAAAATGTTTCAAACATAAGAAAGGTCACAAGATCAGCCTCAAGATGAGAAGTGGGTCAAGTAAGGTGAAGGACACAGACACTGGTACCATAATAATACTGATAGATGTCTGAAATCCTTCATGAACAGTACTTATCTTACAGGATCCTTCAGGCAAGTTTCTTCATGCTGAATCAAGCAGGACAGAAGGTCTAAAGTCTAGATCATTTGAGTTTATCACGCGAGTCAGCAGCCTAAAACTACTAAAGTTTCTGACTACTGTAGGCAATCAAACAGGCCATACAGTCTACAGTCCAGACTACTGGAGGCAATCAAACAGGCCATACAGTCTACAGTCCAGACTACTGGAGGCAATCAAACAGGCCATACAGTCTACTGTCCAGACTACTGGAGGCAATCAAACATGACATACAGTCTACAGTCCAGACTACTGGAGGCAATCAAACAGGCCATACAGTCTACAGTCCAGACTACTGGAGTCAATCAAACAGGCCATACAGTCTACAGTCCAGACTACTGGAGGCAATCAAACATGACATACAGTCTACAGTCCAGACTACTGTAGGCAATCAAACAGGCCATACAGTCTACAGTCCAGACTACTGTAGGCAATCAAACAGGCCATACAGTCTATAGTCCAGACTACTGTAGGCAATCAAACAGGCCATACAGTCTACAGTCCAGACTACTGTAGGCAATCAAACAGGCCATACAGTCTACAGTCCAGACTACTGTAGGCAATCAAACAGGCCATACAGTCTACAGTCCAGACTACTGGAGGCAATCAAACAAGACAAGAGTCAACAGTCCAGACTACTGGAGGCAATCAAACAGGCCATACAGTCTACAGTCCAGACTACTGTAGGCAATCAAACAGGCCATACAGTCTACAGTCCAGATTACTGTAGGCAATCAAACAGGCCATTGAGTCTAAAGTCCAGACTACTGGAGGCAATCAAACAAGACAAGAGTCAACAGTCCAGACTACTGTAGGCAATCAAACAGGCCATACAGTCTACAGTCCAGACTACTGGAGGCAATCAAACAGGCCATACAGTCTACAGTCCAGACTACTGGAGGCAATCAAACATGACATACAGTCTACAGTCCAGACTACTGGAGTCAATCAAACAGGCCATACAGTCTAAAGTCCAGACTACTGGAGGCAATCAAACATGACATACAGTCTACAGTCCAGACTACTGGAGGCAATCAAACAGGCCATACAGTCTACAGTCCAGACTACTGTAGGCAATCAAACAGGCCATTGAGTCTACAGTCCAGACTACTGGAGGCATTCAAACAGGACATACAGTCTACAGTCCAGACTACTGTAGGCAATCAAACAGGCCATAGAGTCTACAGTCCAGACTACTGGAGGCAATCAAACAGGACATACAGTCTACAGTCCAGACTACTTCAGGCATTCAAACAGGCCATACAGTCTACAGTCCAGACTACTGGAGGCATTCAAACAAGACATACAGTCTACAGTCCAGACTACTAAAGGCAATCAAACATGACATACAGTCTACAGTCCAGACTACTAAAGGCAATCAAACATGACATACAGTCTACAGTCCAGACTACTGGAGTCAATCAAACAGGCCATACAGTCTACAGTCCAGACTACTGTAGGCAATCAAACAGGCCATACAGTCTACAGTCCAGACTACTGGAGGCAATCAAACAAGACAAGTCAACAGTCCAGACTACTGGAGGCAATCAAACAAGACAAGAGTCAACAGTCCAGACTACTGGAGGCAATCAAACATGACATACAGTCTACAGTCCAGACTACTTTAGGCAATCAAACAGGCCATACAGTCTACTGTCCAGACTACTGTAGGCAATCAAATAGGCCATACAGTCTACAGTCCAGACTACTGGAGGCAATCAAACATGACATACAGTCTACAGTCCTGACTACTGCAGGCAATCAAACAGGACATACAGTCTACAGTCCAGACTACTAGAGGCATTCAAACAGGACATACAGTCTACAGTCCAGACTACTGGAGGCATTCAAACAGGACATTTCAAACAGGACATACAGTCTACAGTCCAGTCCAGACTACTAGAGGCATTCAAACAGGACATACAGTCTACAGTCCAGACTACTGGAGGCATTCAAACAGGACATACAGTCTACAGTCCAGACTACTGGAGGCAATCAAACAGGCCATACAGTCTACAGTCCAGACTACTGGAGTCAATCAAACAGGCCATAGAGTCTACAGTCCAGACTACTGTAGGAAATCAAACAGGCCATACAATCTACAGTCCAGACTACTGGAGGCAATCAAACATGACATACAGTCTACAGTCCACACTACTGGAGGCAATCAAACATGACATAGAGTCTACAGTCCAGACTACTGTAGGCAATCAAACAGGCCATACAATCTACAGTCCAGACTACTGGAGGCAATCAAACATGACATACAGTCTACAGTCCACACTGCTGGAGGCAATCAAACATGACATACAGTCTACAGTCCACACTACTGGAGGCAATCAAACATGACATACAGTCTACAGTCCACACTACTATAGACAATCCACTACATACAGTATATATTAGTGCTTACAATCAAACATGACAAAGTGTCCACAGTTAATTTTACTGGTGGCTTGAAAATCTTCTTTCTACTTCAGCTGATATATGCTGGTATTCCTTCACATATGTGGATTTTTCCCATTGTTGGTCAAGATGGTTGTTAACTGGTCAGTCTTCGGGACTGATTTGACCAACATACACTGTGCACTTTCACCATGAAGCCATCCCAAACGTCCACAAACCTACCCTGAGCACACCTCCATTCAATGGCTGATATGTTTAAGATTTCACTAAAACGTTTCAGATAGCATCAGTTCATTTAAAGCTGTGTGACATCCTTACAAGGTAAGACAGCTTGCAGCTTTAGCAGGCATCTGACAGAAATGTACATCAGGTAAACATATATAAAGGACAGGTATTTTAGACTCCCTACTGATGTGTGAATGTAAATGAGTCATCAAAATGCATTCTTCATGGAAGTGACAGGTGAAAACCAGTATGCATCCCTTGAAAATTTGTTGTGTAAGATAACTGTGTATTGTTGCAACGTAAAAGGATCCTACGGATCAGAGAAGGCAGCAAAGAACAGGGATAAAAGCCCATAAAGAGTTAAGTTGCCACCTTAGGATTGAAACTACATCCACATTATCAACCAAAGTGATGCTGCATGAAGGGACCTCACTTATTCACTGGAAGTTACAGAATCAACAGATTGTAATCTTTGGGGTTAAAACCCAATTAAGTGCATCATCCATCCAGCATAGCTGCATAGTCACTGCGCAACCATCATAAACAAGTCATGCGAATCCCGAAGCTCCATGTAATGAGCTTTTTTCACACAATGTAATTGTATGGCGCCGCAACCAGGGCCCCATACAGACACACATCGCACCCCTTTTGTTGCGGTCTGATAATAAATTACTGTGGTTTAGGTAGCTGCAATGAATGATGCAAAGATGCACCACATTAGCACCACAAAAGGCATTAAGTTTGTCACTGGATTTCAATAAAATGAATTTCCACGTAATTGGATGCCGTATTAAACCAGTAGAATTCATTTTTTATTTGATTCCGATACAGCACAGTTAAACCTTTAGTAAAGCTGTCTTATTGTTAATGACACTTCATTTTTTGAATTTCAAATTGAAATGCAAATTTTTTTATTGCCTTATCTTAACACCTTCTTTTTTTTGTAAGTTTAAAAGCTTGCACAATGAAATCATCATGGTATTGTTAAGACATGGCAACATCGACCTGATCATGGCTAGACTTTAAAAGCCTGCGAGGACTGTTACACTCAATGATAGATGCTATTAGTGACATGAAACTAACAAATCAAAAACTAAACCAACAAAGATTGGAACAGTCGACAGAATTGCTCTTTAATTCCCAATACTTTCTCCAAGTTTGCCAGTTACAAAAATACTTTGCTCAGAGAACAAATCATTTGAAGGTTCATCACGTTCCCCATGCAATTTTTTATATTTTAACAAATTTTAAGAGATGAAATTCCTTACCTTGAAATAGCAGTTGCAGTGTCCTGGTCAGACACCTAAGGTCATTCAGACTGTCACTCAAACCTGGAAAAAAAAAGGCAGAAATAGTCATTATTGTACTAGCCGTTAAATCTTAAAGATCAGGGATTAATCCCAGTTTTCATAAGACTAAGTTTCAATGTCTATTCAAAGAATTGTTTCACCAAATGAACATTTATGACATAGAATAAACTTATCAACTTAAGACTAAAAGACAAAATTCTTAAATTTTAACATTTCAGTTACAATATACACCCAAAGTCTTTGGGGTTTTTATGGTCTATATACAAAACAATTAACACAGGTCCACGTATTCTGTGAATTAATGAACAAAATAAAAAATAACAGATAAAAAATACTTAAAGACATATATTACTGTGTTTAAAAAGAAAGTAAGAGTATGACTATATGATAGAATAGAAGTATTTGTTTGATGTATCTCTGACATCTAATCTTTAGTGTAATTGTTAAACTTGGCCGTAAATCACCAAGATCAGGAATAAATTACAGATTGACATGCTGATTAGGATTGTACTTCACAGACATTGCTATAATCTTGAGTCATCGGGACATTTGTGTCAAACGTCCTTATTCTATATGTGATAACAAAAGTAAAATCACCATGATAACACTATACCAATACAACATTAACACATAGATATTTCTAAAGTCTATCAATCTGTCATCACAGTAGGTTCATTTTTTACTATCTAAATCATAGTCACGTGTTTAAATTTACTATACAGCTAACACTGCTTCATATCTCTTTTCGTTGGTCTGAAGAAATATGTATGATATTAACCACAAAGTGACATTAAGTCATGTGATGTTACATGGAATGTAATATAGTTGTTTATGCATACTTCAAAATAAATTGACATGTAAAATAGGCTTCAAAACTAATTGAAAATATTTTCCTTTTTAGCAAACCTATGTAACTAATTGTCCGAAAGAATAATCCCCATTTATCAGGTGTATCACCTAGTAAGAATGTAAAGTAATTGCTGTTTCTATTTCATGACTGTCATATAGAGTTTTCTATCTTCAGAATTTGTTCCTGCAAAATCAAAACCTTCCTTTGAAGTTATTGAATACCAAAGAAATAACTTTTAAAGGTGCTAAAATCAAATATGGCCACAACATCTCCCTAACCTGGTTCAAACTTCAGCAGATTGTAATTGAAATTCTACTCTTTGTTTTAAATTTCACGAAATCCTGAAATACCTTCAAAAATGTTCATACATAGAATGGTGTATAAACAATCTCCTGTTTGATAGTTAGAAAAGATTGTTTTGTAAGAAACACTAATTTTAAACATCAATACTATGACCTTGACCTATGACATCTAAATTTATTATGCATCATATAAAACAGTGATTTGTACCAGTAAAATTATCACACATCATGTTAATAATTACTTTAACAATTAAACTTATCATAAATTGCATGCAATGATGACAAACCACGCTTTGAAAAAGCCTTTATCTATTCATAATCTTATTACACAGTACGTGTATCTCGCCAGGTCAAATGTCCCATACCGCGGCACTGCATTAAGGTTGTCCTTTTAACGGACTGCTATGATACAATCAGGGTTATAGCACCTAATCAGTATCAACATGCAATAAAAGCTGTGTTTAAGGAAACTCTCTGTTTCATTTTAACTCAGGTTCAACCAGTGCTGAAGATGACAAGGATAAGATTTCAATTAATTTAAGTCCTTCTTCTCCAGATTTGTGGCCTATCTTTTATAGTAATCATGTAATTTCTTAAGTAATCAAAGAAAATCATTTGACTTTGTAAAATTATAATAAACCCAAGTTGAGTCAGTATGTCTGCAGCTTTATAATTAGTCAAAAGTCTGGTAACGCTTCTGGAGCATCCGATTGGTGTTATCTCTTAGGGATCTTCATTAAACTTTAATCCTATGCATTTATAATTCATGCTTGGTTTTATTCTATACATAAGTTTTGTGAGTCTTCAGTAACACAGAATGATAAGGTAAAACAGTTGAAAACAATGCACTGAATCCTTAATTTCCATTATGCCAAATTGTGATGTGACCTCATTTAACCTTTCCTTGTCCACAACGAAATGGTCTTAGATCAATCGAAAGTGTGTCTATGACATCAAAAATGTTTGTAACTCATTAGATGTCAGAAAGATACTGCAGTCTCGAAAATTAATGGCAGACTGATAGCCACCAAGGCTACGTAATACCTAAGTGTTCAATCTACTTATATAACTTATAATTATATTGAAAATTATGAAACCTTCTTAATTATATAACAACTTTCGGTTACTGGTATGCATGGAGATATATATTTACAGTGTTAATTGCTATATGTAAGAAAAATATATATGTGCATTGCATCATGAATGGCAGGAACTACAAGAGTTTCAATGATACAGACGATTACCACAACACATTGCTTCATTAACTTATCAGAAATGCTTGCTCCTTAATGAGGTCATTTTGAGGGGTCTGTGATGGTACAAAGTAAAATTTAAGTCCTGATTATCAATTCCACTTTGTACCAAACAGAAGAACAACCAGAAAAGTATCTTTCAGGAATGCCATATTGAAATGAATATTCTTTACTTTTTACCAACATTGCTTTAGAAATCCAACTTGTTAAACAATACAATGTCAAATCAATTACCTTAATAATAGACACTCAGAAAAACTGGGAAAATACTGAGTCAAAATATATTTTCAAAATAGAAGAGTCCAAACTTATTCAACTCATTTCTAACTTTGGACTTCTTGTTCCTTATATCTAGGAATTAAAAGTACTGTTGTTCTCATTTTGCACTTTATAAAAACATCTTTACTACATGAATTTGCCCCCTGGACTTTTAGATACAATGCTAGAGGCTGATCAACTCTGTCATACTACTGCAATGCATGTGTGTTAATACTTTTCAGTTACATTTAAGGAAAATTTAAACTGTCCACATGAGGTTGATTACCTGGTACCTTAAGTGTCATACAGCCTTGTGGGACAATGTAACTGATATAAATACATCTTAGAGTCTCCAGAGAGTACTGATTTTCTATCAACAAAATCATTCAAAATGTCTTTATTAGTCCTGTAACACTTAGACCAGGGGTTTGGGGGAATGGGGAAGGGTTTGGAAGGACTATAGTTTTCCACTCTGGCTATCCGTCCATCCCTCCCTACCATCAGTCTGTCTGTTTGTCCACACTACAGCAGCTAAATTCCTTAATGGGTTGTAATCAAACTTCATACACTGATAAAGCCTCAAAATACCCAACATCGGGTACGAGTTCCAGTGTTGTTGGGTCAAGATCACAGTTATTGTTCTAGAAAATCTTTTTTTTAAGTAAGCCAGTGGCTTTATTCTTCTTAAGGATTTGATCAACCTCAATGATAAACGACCATAACATCTTAGACAAGTTCAAGGTTCAGGTTCATTAGGTATAGGTCAAGGTCACTTATTTTTTTCAGAAAATTGTTGTCAATGCTCTAGCAGTGTCATTATTTGAGGAATTTTCATAAAATTCACACATTTTAAAAATGCCTTGCACAAATTTGTGTTTCAGGGTTCTTTGGTCAAGTTCACCATCATTATTTTTATAAAATCATTATTAACACTCGAGCAACTTCATTCCTTACAGCATTTTGATCAAATCTCACATATATTTTACAAATGACTAAAACATTATTACATGTTGGTGATGAAACTGCATCGTCAGGTGTTTTTCCAACATATTTGGAGCATTGTTCAGTAGGGATACATGTTGTAGCAACATTCAGTATGCTTGTCTCATTGTTAGATTTCAACATTTAATTTCTTACCAATATCTATCTTGTTGTTTGAAATTGGAATTCTTACTTTTTTAAAGCATAAATGCTAAAAAGAGGCGGGGAAGGGGGAACAAAGGTAATGAACTGACTCTAAAACAGCCAATAACATTTTTCTATGAAAAATGGTTCTTTGTGCTGCATTGTAAAGATGACAATGACATCGCTTAGGTGTATGAAAAATACTCCTGAAGTATACTATGGACTTGTGCTTTCAGAGCTGTGAAATAAATTATTTCAAGGTTAATAAATATCAAGATTTGCCTCATCAGAAGACAATAGTTCTGTCATAAATATACTGCTGAAATTTCATTGTAGATTTTCAGTTACATTAAATAAATTTGAAGAGTTAGCCAATATGACAACACGTAACAAACTTAAATGAAAAGTTCAGCTTGTAATCTATATTTCATGCTCAGCTTCCATAAATAGCAGAAATTTGAAAAGCTTTTGACTTAGTTAGAACCTATTTTAAGATTAATAACTGCGACCACACCTTCAAAACACCATGCACTTATCCTCTCCCTTTAAATCTCAATTGCAGTTCTGCTAAACCTGTCATGATTATGGATGCTCTTCAGGCATTTAAATAATGTATCAAAAGGCAAGAAACTGAACAAGACATGACAAAGGATTGTTGGCTTGGCAGGTCAAACATTTTAGTTATGCTAAATTTGACAGACTGACCTAGTTGTTGAAATATATGACAGATTTCATGAAGTCACAATTTTTTTTACTCTCATTTCCATGGCAAAGTTGTAACTTATTTCAAAAAGTCACTGTTAAAGTGTTAGGCTAAAATGGTAATGAAACATATCAAGAAGGTAGCAAACATTTACTGATAACTAATAAATGTCAACTCGCATACATTAGTATGGGAGCTAGTTGTAGTAAGGTGGTTGTTTATAATGCTATCTGCCAGTGTGAATTGAAACAAAGGTTTTGATGTTTGGTAGTGAGAGGAACACAATATCACCATTAATCTTGATGACACCAAGGCTTGTGAAACTAGTTGGTAGCAAGGGGAAAAGATTCCATGGACAAGCTACAACACAGATAATACATCAATGTGTATAACCTAAAGTTTGTACAGTATTGTACCTCCAAATGGTGATTCAAGATTTAGTGATCATCACAATTGTACAACATTGTATATATAGGTCCGGTGGTCATCACAATTGTACAACATTGTATATATAGGTCTTGTGGTCATCA